TCACAGCAACGCTATGAATATATACAACTCTATCTGTAATCTACAAGGTAATCCTTCTATTATTTAAGAATTCTTACTCTTAATGTACAATATAATCCTTGGTTTTTGTTTAACTACTTTTTAGTTATTGTTTTTAATTTTTATTGTTCGTTTAAACGAAGTTACTGAAATAACATTCTATTTTACTTTGAATGGATGACTTTTTTGGAAATTGTTAAAGGAAGAAATAATAATAATATTTTCATTACATAATATTATTGTCAATGGTTCATGATATACTTAAGATCCAATTATGTATAAAACTCTCAAAACATGATGACTTTAATGCTACTCAGCATGGGTCTTTTACTGTATCCTTATTTAACAGCCTTATTTCAAATTTAACCTTCTAAAAAGCTTAGAATTACAATTTCATATATTTTTTTTTTGAATGTGTAATTTTAAGATTGATGCAGCATAAGTCTTTTACTTCTACATTCATGAGTTTCTAGACTAAAATACTCCAATCTTTTAGTGGGTGTAAATAATAAGGACAGTACATTTTATTGTAAGCACAGACGTTCGTTGTATATGTTTTACTTTACTGAGGCAGCCACCCTGTAAAAAAAATTAGATGTTTATTCTTAATGAAATTGTGTTACTATTTCATGCATAGGTTAATTACGAGAACGTTATAATTTCAAAGAATATATTTGCTTTTTTATTATATTTTATAAAAAAAAAAAATATTTACATTCATTGTAGTTTTCCTTTTGAAATCCGTTAGAAATTCGCGACATTCAAATCTCTATAACACTCACGAAACCTTGTCAGGGCGCTCTAATATTCACAGTAGGAACTACATGCATTTCAATACTCTAGGAGCACAAAAGTATCCAATGCTTCACTTCAATTTAATAAAAAAAACAATAACCCTAATGAATTAACCTTAAAATGCAATAAGAGTCCATTTAAAATTAATTTGTCACTTTTGTCACAATATTCCTTTGTGTTATTAAAGTTGCAACGTCACAAACAGCTCTTACGTCAATTAAGCACACCAGTTTTGAAGTTTGCTAAATTCACTATTAACTTAAAGATGAAAAAATAAATATTATACAGAGGAAATTACTGAATGTATGTATAATCATTGCATTCATATTTTGGGATGTCGTCGGTCCTATAACACACCTTGCCTTACCGTCAAATAATCATACAACACTCAGGCGCGCTATTTATTTTTTCAGCACGGCCAGGTGTGGTAAAGGACTGACGACATCCCAAAATATGAACTCAATGCTTTAGTAAAATATTTTACTATTACGTAGAATATTACTCAAGACATTCTAATATCCAACGACACTTTTAAAGAATATAGTAATAATCATTAATTTTTTATAAAAAATGTTAATAATAATTGTCTTGATTATATATCCAAAAAATATTATTTAATAAGAATTTCAAGACATTTTATCATCAGTATTGTAATGTCAACACTTCTGTTAATTTATTAAAGATTATTTCCATTTATCGAAACTTCAAGTCAACATGCTTTTCAAGATTTGTGTGACTTTGTTGAGCACTCAAACAAGCTAAAGTAAGCGGTTTTGAATTATTATATAATTTTAATTTGATATTTTTTATGGAAATTTCTGTTCAATACAAAATCAATTTCCCTTTTATTGTAAAGGTAAATGCTGAAATAACAATTCATTTTGTACCTTAAAAATTGATTCCTATCCAAATCCATAAGAAAAATATAACATTTCTCATTTTATATTGAGCGTGCTGAAAAAAGTCGATGTTGGACCGCTGAGTGAGATGTTGGAACGTTTGATGAGATATTGGACCGCTTACGTCACAGAATGGGCGGAGCTTTATCTCATTTTCATTCGTTGGTCTAAAAAGTGACAGACATGAGCTCACATCACGGGAGACAATACAAAATACATGTATGTTAAAAAAATAAAATGAAAGGTATAACCAAACATTTATTGACTATGTTCAATCTCGGACAACAAGCGTTTTGTCGACCCTCGAACCCAACTGTCTGCTTTCGACGTAACGGCCTCAAGTAGACAGTTGGATTTGTGGGTCTGACAAAGCGCATTTTGTCCTCAAACTCAGTCAAAAAGAAGTATTATGTCTGTCAGGAATTTATATAAGAAATATTTGGATATTATACATTATTTACTTGGGTATTTTTTTTTTAGATCTGCTGGTTTTAAATGATTATGTTTATAAAATGCTTGATCATGCAATAGATAGGAATTTTGCTATGATAGAGAGACCCAGCCAGAGTTTTTTCCAGGACATGTAGCCGTGTATTGATTAAATGTGAAGTAACAACCATTTTTGTCATGCATTTTAATTTTTAAAAGAATATTTTTCATCTTTTTTATACTGTATAAATATGTTATCTCTGTTTCAGTATGTAAAGCATACATATTACTTTTTTCTATTTGTGTCACACGTATTTCTTTATTTTATTAGACATTTATTTAAAAATATGATTGATAAGTTATAAATCGTTTTCTTTTCATGAAAAGAAATGCAATGTTTTCGAAATGACTTTATGAAGACGTATTCAAAACGCATACAATTGAATCATATAGGCGGTTTAGTTAATGCATCACACAGATAAGAATTAAGACTTTTTTTTATAATATGTAACACTAATAAATCGGTGAAGTCATGGATAAAATTTCATTATGCATTATTATTTCTTTATTATAAAACTATCATTATGCATTCTATGGACTTTAATGGGACGTATACAACAGGAAGCACTTCATCACGATGTCACGACGTCACCACGTGACGTCTATAATTAGAAAAAATGCCTTAATGAAAAAAGTCAAAAGTTCAACACTACCCTGGGGATAATTAATTTCAATTTGTTATAATAGTTGTGTAAACATCTCTGTGCCATGAAAAGTACTGCTAGAATCCTACTGTCCTATCACAGAAATAACTGTTTAACACTTTCGGACGAAACCTTCCCAAAATAATTACATTTTGTTCTTAAGATCGAAAAAAGGCATAAATTCCCGTTAACTATACGATTCTAGCAGCAACTTCCAAAATCAATAGACTGAGAACTTTAGATAGAAACAAAAATTAAGTTTCAAAATGTGCGGCGTAGTGTTGAATTTTTTGCATCTTTTTTGTCACGAACGGCAGAGGAAAGGCTGATCGGCAAGTAAACACCCTGTCTGCCTTTATTCTACAAAGAAATAGTAGAAATATATGAGCATACCTTACAAACAAATATCCCGTTTAATTCATTTTCTAACATCCTTGCTCGAATATCAAAGAAATGGTGCGGCAAAGGCTTCTGGTCAGTCTACTGAATGTTTGATATAGGTTCATCAAAAACAAAATTCCAACATTTTGCTCTAATTGCAAAGGCGGCAAAGGAGGAATTAAACCGAACTTATAACGCTAATACTGAAAAAAAAATTACCCAGATTTTTTTTTTATTCATTTTGTGTAATACAACAATAAATACAAACAATATACACTCTTTAGAAATTCGAACTTGGTAAAGTTCCTTTTATGACAGTCGAGTCTACTAAGATATTGTTGCTAAGGGGAGACAGCCTATAAATAAAAGACCTTTACTAAATAAATATTAGTTTTAAAACTTGCCTACTGGTTTACCTGTAAATTTTGGACTATTGAATTTAAACAATAAAATCATTTTAAATACAAAGCATAATTTTAATTCCTTTATTTATTAAACATGTTAAAGTCTTATGCAGAATTGATTTTTTTTCAAACACAAGTTTCAATAATTTGGAACCTCCTTGGCAATATTCGATTAGATTGTAACACGTGATTAAGGTGTTCGAAAGGTAAAATGCAAATATGTAATTCAGCTTTGAAAAAGAAATAGTATTATATAAAACTATATTGTACATAAGTTCATAGAAAACTAAATACATTAATCTTATCTTATCCCCTATAAAGCGCAAAGTTATAGACATAATGACCGTATAAATTGATGAATTAAATGAAAAACATATTTCTTTTTCAGGCATCTCACGTGAGGGGTATCGGCGGATAAGAAGCCTGGGACAAGTTGTTTTTCAGTGTTTTGAGTGTGTAGAGCCCACAGTTCCCTTCTCCGAGGTCTCTACCACCAGCAAGCTCCTCTCACGTCATCTCCCAGACGCCGAGAGCATAGTTGAGGAGTCCCTTAACATTCCCATCGTTCCCCACGCCGAGCCACACCGTCCAGAGGATGAATCACTCAACTACCACTCCTCACCCCAGGAACTGTCTCCCAGAGAAGCCGTCGTCACCTTCCAAGTCACCGAGAATACGATTCAGTAATGAAATAATTGAAAAATTGCATGAAGTTTATTTTGACCCCGTCTTTCAGTACTGTCTAAGTACAATGTACTTTAGTGGTTTATATTTAGCATTATTTTGTATTAATAAAAAAGTAGTAAGGTAAAAGATGGTTTGATAGAAAAAAATGTTGTTCTCATCTGCAGGACAACTTGATAAAGCTGGTTATATCTGATGTAACTCTAAATGATTTATAAAAGTAATCTTATTGTCTGTCAGCAAATATTAAAGGAGCACATGGCGGATATGAATAGTCAGAGGGGATGGTCCCTCCTTTAAACATGAAATTAAAAATTCTTAAGAAGAATGAGGTAAATATTTCATCCAATACTGATTTAGAAATTTAGACATGTTTGAGGTGTGTGTTGGGCGTAGTCTAAAGCAAAGACCGCGTTATGTATATTACACAATTATACTTTCTCTATTCAAACGGGATTTGTTGTACGTATTTATCTTAAAATGACGTGTACATATGTACATATATATATATATATATATATATATATATATATATATATATATATATATATATATTTTGAAAAATATGGTTAAATGTTAATTCATTAAAAGACTGTCTTAGCAGGCTACAGAATATTACAAGATTTGGCCCTTAGCAGACTTATTTATCCCAGCTGATATGCAGGACCACAGTTATCGTGACGTAGCTAATAAGTGTCTTTGAATGTTCGATAAATTTCGCACACGTAATGATGTGTGTTTGCCGGATCCTCGTCATCACATGGAAAATCTTTTTTATTGGAGGCAGCTAAGTGGGTCTCTTCCGGCTGATTCGTTTGCATGAAGATTTTACAGTCAAAGTCGAAGATAGATCCATCGTGGAATGTCCATTCCCCCTTCTTTCGATCTGTTTCCTCTCCCTGAAGCCACACTTTAAAAGGATACTTGGAGGGGGGAAGTTGTACTGAAAGATGTCAAAATAATTGGATTTGATTATCATTCAATGAATACAGCTTCTTCAATTGATGAATACATTTTAAAGGGAATTAATTTAACTCGTTTTACTTATAACTTGTAGAGTATTTGTCAAAATTATGAGCGAAATATCCTCATTACCTCATTAGACGCCTACAAATTCATATGGATTTTTTTTTGTTTTTTTTTTCATATTCTTTTATATACAGATTAAATACATGACATGTGTTAATAATTTCTTCATTTAAAAAAAAAATATAGGCTATACATACACATATGCCTTTGAAAAATTTTGAACTTGTCCCTTGAGTCAAGTTTAATGAGATCTCCCCCCTCTTTTACACAGCTGCTCACAGCCTCGGTGTGGTTTACAAATAATGGTACAAACTTCAAACAAATCTCAAAGTAGGAGTAGTTATAAGCCGTATATCCAGGAGGACAGTGGGCTGAAATGAAAATGAAACGTGACTTTATCTTTAGATTCGTTAATTGATTGAAAAAAAAAAATACATTGTACATTTCGACCATGTGTGTAAAACTCTGTCACGTAAAATATCTGCACTCCGTAGAATTGAAAAATATCTGCCTGTTGAAACACGTAAATTGTTTTATAATGCGTACATCATGCCTACCATTGATTACTGCCTAACAATTTGGGAAAATACGTCCAGATCAAATCTTGAAAGTGCGAAAGCCCAGAAGGCTCATTCGAGATTCGAGTTTCCAAAAACGAGATTCGAAATTCGAGATTCAAAATTCAAAATTCGAGATTCGAAATTCGAGTTTCGAGATTCAAGATCCAAACGAACCAATCAAAAGCGGGTTCAACATTTGATTATTTCCCCTTATTATGTTTTTACTATCAAGAAAAAATTCAATATAATTATATCTAATGGGTCATTTCATTAAATTACAATGCAAGAAAAAGTGTTATATATATATTGGAAAGAAATTTAAATAATTAATGGATTTTTGATCCGCAAAAAATATTTCAATTTATATTATAGATTCTTAAATACTAAATAGATTACATATATCAGGAGTATATAATTATATTTTTGTACTACGACTAATTTGACGACAAATTACCGGCCGGCCAGGAGCTGGTCGGTTTTGTGATGTGAAAGTTTGAAGTCGCTGTGCGTTTCTGCGGAGTTTAAAGAATTTAAATAAAAATAATTTAACATTAATATAATAATCTTTTAAAAAGACGGTCTAAAGGTTAAAGAAGAACGCACAATAAACATAAAATTAAAAATTCTTAAGAAGAATGAGGTAAATATTTCATCCAATACTGATTTAGAAATTTAGACATGTTTGAGGTGTGTGTTGGGCGTAGTCTAAAGCAAAGACCGCGTTATGTATATTACACAATTATACTTTCTCTATTCAAACGGGATTTGTTGTACGTATTTATTTTAAAATGACGTGTACATATGTACATATATATACATTTTGAAAAATATGGTTAAATGTTAATTCATTAAAAGACTATCTTAGCAGGCTACAGAATATTACAAGATTTGGCCCTTAGCAGACGAGGATAATGCACGTTTTACAATGTGCCAGAATTTTCCAGCTACAACTCAAAGAGAAGAAATGTAGTGGCGGATCTAGAGGGAGTTTAGTTCTTTCCTCTAACAGAGAGCAATTTTAGGATACCAACATATTTGTTGCATTTTTATTAAAGTAAACTACACTGCATATCTAGTTGTAGATTACATTAAATTTTAGTTTTAAACTTTTAATGTAAATGCCATACAGGCCCACGGTTCAAAAGTTGTTGACGCAGAGTACCAGGGTTAATACTGAACATGCATTATATAATTAAGAAAACATTACAATGTCGAGCACAAGCTTTTAATATCATAAGGATATATATTAAAAGATAGATGTAAGATATTTTAAAAACAGATCACCATAGTCTTTAGTTGCTTCATAAAAGGAACTTTAATTGGTTTGCGACCGATTTTTGACGCTTGCGTCAATATATGTTTCTTGTCTTAATTTTTAGAAAAACACAGGAACGTGTGGACAAGACCCCCCCACCCCCACCTTGATATTGAACTCCAGGGCTTAATTCTTTGTTATGTGTAGCTTTACAATGCGAAAAAATCGCTCACGTAAAACCCCCAGAATAACCAAAACCAAAAAAAATTAAAAAAAAAACAAAACAAAACAAAACACTATTTATTACCCCTTTAAAAGAAAGAATGCTGTTTACGGAGAAAATGTGGGGTTATGACGTGATGCAGAGTCAGTCCGATAGCATGGACGAAGACAGAAATACATTGTATAAATTATGTAGAGACAGTGTGAATCGACATTTAAAGTTAAAACAAAATAAATGCATTTAATTAATACCAGTGGGGGTACAACGTAAACAGACTGGAGTGACATATCCTTCTCTTATAACGTATAGTGGGTATTGGGGGGGGGGTGTTGAGTGATTATTCTGGGGATTTTACCATTTTTTGTTATTGTACACATGATGAATAAGTTAAATACATATAACTTGTGAAGAAAATGTCCAATAAGCCCTAAGGTTGAATATCGAGGCGGGAGGGGGGGAGAGGTGGAACCGTCCATAAGTACCTGTTGTTTTCCTTGCAGAGGAAATGCACAAAATTTAAGTTTAGTAGACAATTCAAAAATATACATACTCCTGATATGTGAAATCTATTTAATATTTAAGAATCTGTAATATGAATAAAATTTTTATTTTGCTGATCAAAATTCCATTAATTATTTAATTTTCCTTCTAATATTATATATAACACTTTTTCTTGTATTGTAATTTAATGAAATGACCCATTTGATATAATTATATTGAACTATTTCTTGATAATAAAAACATAATAAAGGGAAGTAATCAAATGTTGAACCCGCTTTTGGTTGGTTCGTTTGGATCTTGAATCTCGAAACTCGAATTTTGAATCTCGAATTTCGAATTTTGAATCTCGAATTTCGAATCTCGTATTTGGAAACTCGAATCTCGAATGAGCCTTCTGGGCTTTCGTATGAAAGAGTTCATAAACTTCAAAAGCGTGCTGCAAGGTATATTTTAGATGCTCTCCCTGATGCACCCTTAAGGCCCCTTTTTGATAAACCTGATTGGCGTACTGTTTATGAACAGCTTACTATAAATAAATATGTATTGTTTTATAAATCTGTCTTTAATTATTGTGTGTGCCAATTCATAAATGTAAACTTGTTGAAAATTCATTCCAGTACTCTGGCGCCATATTATAGAATGCTTTACCGGTGCAAATAAAAATGTCAACAAATCTTAATGCTTTCAAGAGACAAGTAAAACATTATGTAAAACACCGTCAGAATAATTTGTGATTCATGTTTAATTGTATTTGTATATTTATGTTATATTTATAATATGTCTGTATGTGTATAACTATGTATCTTTAAATTGTTAATTGTCAGAAGACCCTGGGGATGAATAGTGCTTGCACTAATCAGGTTACCTTCTTTAAATAAAATATTATTATTATTATTATTATTATTATTATTATTATTATTATTATTATTATTATTATTATCATTATTACATTGATTGATTGATTGGTTCAAGGATTGATGGATGAAATTATGGATTCATTTATTAATGGAGTGTTTGATTGATTGTCAATTTATTGTTTGATGGATGGAATAATTGATTGTTTGATGGACGAGTGGATGGATTAATTGATTGTTTGATGGACGAGTGGATGGATTAATTGATTGTTTGATTGACGGGTGGATGGATTAATTGATTGTTTGATGGACGGGTGGATGGATTAATTGATTGTTTGATGGACGGGTGGATGGATTAATTGATTGTTTGATGGACGGGTGGATGGATTAATTGATTGTTTGATGGACGAGTGGATGGATTAATTGATTGTTTGATTGACAGGTGGATGGATTAATCGATTGTTTGCTTATTTGAATATTTAACTGATTGGTTTATTTTCATAATAGGTTGATTATAATATATAAGTGCTCCAATTGCCACCAAAATAAATTCTGGCTATTCTTAATGACAAATAACTCCTCCCCTATGTCAGTTATAGCGAAAAACAAAATCGTCGGTAATAAGAAGTAGGTCAACACATAGAGAATCGGACTTAACAGTGATGATATAGGGGGAAAATCATTTAAGGTAGCACATAATAAATGGTCCATTTTCTCCTCAAAGTTAATTTTAAGTATAGTATGTCATAATGAGGACAATTTAACTGACAGTTTCAAATATTTTGATTATTTAACAAAATTTGAAAAAAAAAAATACAGAGGACGATGTTTAATTATTTGACTGTTTTTTGACCTTGAGATTGAAATAATAATTTTCAGTTTTTTAGACCAAGTTTTTTTTTTAAATAGAAAATCAGTTAAAGAGGTTCTATTGATGTTTTATACTGCATTAAAGAATAATAAGATAATATATTTTAATTGATATAAAAAATCAATTTTCAATGTTCTACGTTATTAATATATTGAATTATTTGTAATAAGGATATACCTTCAAAAATTCTAATTTAGACAACTAAATGAAATAAGGTTAATCATTTATGTCATTTAGAACATTATGTGTTGAAGGCTGTTTCAAACATAATGAAATAATAGAGAAAATTATCATAAAAAACAAACTCTCAGTATATCAGTATAAGAAAAAAACCAAATGGTTAGCATATTTCTATTTAAAAGTATAAAATGTTTTATCTGTTTATTAATAATTACAATACACTGATGAAAACACTTTTAACATTTAGATAATTTGAAATACACTATGAAAACTTCAAAGCATTTTATTGTTAAGTAACATATGTCAAGTCATATTATGAGTTCTTTAGATGAAATATGTGAGGATAACAGTGTTGAAGCTCAGAGGACCAGAAAACATTCATAAATTGGAGCAGAGAAAACATGAAAATCTAAAAGATCGGGGATGGGAGCAGGTACCATGGAAAAGTGAGCATCCACAGGCGACCGGTCACACCCGCCGTGTGCTCTCTGACATGATCGGGAAATAACCGGAAAATCAGTGTGTAATTATAAATAATTGAATAACAATTAGAATGAAAAACGTTAGAATACTATATATTTGTAAAAATATGTATAAATGATTTTGTATGGAAGATAAGTTTACGTTATGTGTACGATATCATTCAGAATTGGATAGTATCTTTTCTCCAGATTAAGAACAAATGAATATATTTTAAGTACATCTTAATGAAAAAAATGTATTCTATTAACATAAATCTTTGACATTTCTTTTTATGATGTTTTTTTTTTCAAATAGAAAATATAACCAAATAGCAGATTTATATAAAAATGTTTAAACAGATGAAACACTCACGAGGCATGAACGATCTCCACTTTTGATTATGAGAGATATTGCTAGGAAAATCTACACAACATAAACATGATAAACAGTTCTTCTCGTCCCCATTATAGCTGAACATATAAATATGCTTTTTGGTTGATAAACAATCATAAAGGCAATGCGAAATACTTGGAGGTTTGTTCCTCTGCAGGCAAGTAGAAGTTGGTTGAATGTTTACTTGAATCGCATTCCAACGCTCACAGCTATTTTGAAAATATTCTCCATTTGTTTTCACGAGAAGAAGATCCGAAAATATTAATAGCAGTCTAATTATGAAAAATTGACAATTAAGTTTCATTGTTGTTGTCTGAATTGTAAAACATCATCTGCAAAGCTCGAGATGAGAAAAGCGTTCGCTGTTTATATGTCAGATTTGAACCAATCACAAGCTGAATTTCTTTTGCACACGTGACCTTCTTACTTAATATTTATTTCATATATATAGCTTTGATATTATGATGTAAATGGGTTTTTTCACTGCTACAACTGTGTAACTTTTGCATAGTACAAGGACAATTGCCAAGTATGAAAGTGCCCACTCTACAGAAAAGTTTATTGCAAAAAAGCTGTGGGGTGTTTGTTTTTTTCATATATCATAATCACATGATGGTCTTTGACTTTTCTACTTTTATATTAAGTTGTATTTAAAGTTAATTAAGGGACCAGGCAACATTTATCACACTGATGAGATCTTTACAAACTGGAATGGAGCGATGAGTTTTTTCAACGACGACAACCACGGGGCAAAAATATTTTTTAAAGTATTAAATACCCATCATGGGACAAAAACTGTTTTCCCAATACTCAGTTACATTTATTAAATTTAAAAATAATGTAATTTTTCCCTAAAAAATAACAAAGTGTAAAACATTTACAAAAATCTTTTAAAAAGTTATGCCTTTAAAAATTAAACAAAGGTTAACGGCAACATAAATCTTTAGGATAATGGAAAATATTATTAAGAGCCTGTCTACGAGAAAACCATGCAGATATATAGAAAAACGCTCTGATAGGCACTCTCAAGAACAAACTAATTTTTATTCTGAACTAAAAGGACACCAAATGAGAGTCAAAAATATGTTGTTTATTTTTGCATTGGTTGTTTCTATTTTTAGTAACAGCCAATAATTCATTTTGGTCAATATTCAAGGGAAAATGCAAAAAAGTTGGTGAAAAAATGACAATTTCAATAGTTAAAAGTAAGAAAGAAAAAAACAAGTATTATTTAGAGTACGAGTTTCCTACTGTATCGGAGATACAGGGCGGGGCTTGAGGCGAGAGCGATAGCTCGAGCCGGGCCCCGCCCTGTATCTCCGATACAATAGGAAACGAGTACTCTAAATGACTTGTGACATGACCTTTCTTATGACCTCACTAATTTACATGAGTATTTGGGTACTTATCACTCAACCAATCAGATGATTTTGCAGAAAGCTGATTTAGTATCCCATTTTAAGCATTCGCAACTGAAATGCCGAGTGAGGTGGACGTGCAGGTATTTATCAATTTAAAATAATTATTTAGGGGATGCATAATATAATTTGTTTTCCAAAAAAATTAAATTTAAATTTAATTACATAGTGCTTTTTTCTCTATTCAGCTTTTGCTGACATTTTTTTTTAATTTAAGCCTCGTCTTAATTAATGCAAAAGATTTTAATATATAAGAATCGTGCAGGAGTATTTTTGAAACAAAAATTCTTCGGGGAGAACGTAATCTGAGAGAAATGTCCGACAATGTCCTCCTCCGGTCGTCATATACAAAACTGAAATAAACAGATGAAAGGAAGGGGGCCCATCCATATTTAACTTCATATTTTTAATAAAATGTAGTATAACCAAAGGGAATGCGAGAAATCACTGGTGCCCCCCATCCCACCCTCCTTGATTTTTTTCTTTTTCGCTTTCGTAAATGATTTTTGGTAAACATGTATAAATACGCTTTTTAATTTATCAACATTTAACGATATCAAGCACATGGTGTCTTGGTTGGATATAAATCTAACCCCACAAATTACGATTTTCCACTGATTGTTTTCTTTTTGAGGGGGGGGGGGGGTGTTCAAAGTAGTCATTTGTGAACTGCCCCACCCCCTCTTTTCTTAAATTTTTAAATTGAATCCGATACTATTAAATTTACGTTGTAAAATTTTATTCTTAATTCACCTCAAATTTTGAGTGAATACTAACAGTGCTACATGTATCATGCTAATTGAACGATTTTGTGTCTGTATATACAGATACAGCTTTCTGTCATGGTTAAAAATAAACCGTACTGTATCGTTGATATTTTGCAGATACAGTACAGTTTCTGCTCATTTGCATAAGAAACGCCCACAAAAAGTGTTCTGTATCGCAGTTACAGTATGCTTGACTTCAAAGGAAAACTCGCCGGGTCATGTCACAATATATAAATAAAAGGGCTATGTTTTCTCATAGAATTAAGTCGTAAAATTAAGTTGGAATCATTTTTTTTTTGTAAAATCCCTATATAGAAGGCTGTCACGAGGGCACAAATATTGGCATGGTGCCAAGAAATGATAATGGTTCATTTTTTGTTAATATTCAGGGATACATTTCTTAGAAAGTAACGCTTCTTTTTTCAGAATTTTGTGCATTTAAGAATCTTTAGGATATTATCCAAACAATATGTAAAATCCACCTTTGGACTCTCAAGGACAGAAAAGTTATATCGTAATGAAATTACCCCAAATTCAAATGAGGGAAAAATTCATGATTTTATAAGTTTTACTTTTAACAGTAATTTTAATGAATTTTGTGTAAAACATTTACAAATATAAACAATGAAAATTATTTTTATTTTTATAAAAGCTATAAATAATTTTTTCCCTGTTTTTCCTGTGAAAAAAAACCGTATTTTACTATTTATTTAGATTTTGTTAGAATTATCTCCCGTGTTGCGCTCTTCTGTAGAGAAGGTAGATAATGATTATGTTTACGAAGTTTATAAACAGATTTCTGTCATCTAATCGTTTTAGGCATCAATTATGTGTGATTTGAAGAAAATTGTCCCTCCTGTGAATGTAATTTGTTACGTATATACTAGTGGCTATGTTTAAAATGCATAAAACATTATGAAAACCATCGGGATCGAAGTACCACGTGTAAACATTATGGCATCCTGAGACGTTTTGTTTACCGTTTTTGTACGTCCCCAGAAAAAGATTCAAGTGCGTTAATTGTCAACGAGTCTTCGGATTATGGCTCTGATTTTGATGAATACGATTCTGACAGCATTTGGTAGCAAGACGGATGTAGTTATATGATGATACTGAATCAACAATGTTTGAATTTGAAAAAGAAACAGGTAGGTGGATCTTGGTTTATATTATCATAAAAATACATTACAAAAAAACTTTGGCATCTTGGGGGCTGCTCTCTGATTTATACCTACTTAGTTAGCTTTTTTTACCTACCTGAAGTAGCTTTATTTAGCTGCCAAATTAATTTTTTCTATAAAAATATACCTACTTAGCTAAATCTAGTGATTGTACTGGACCTGAATATATACCTAGCAAACCTGTCAAGAGAAATTTCAACATGTTCAAGGTTGGTACTTGTACATGTAGCAATAAAAATATCTGTATAAATTCAACAATATTGCAAAATAATTATAAATAGCATAAGTAGCCTTCGTGGGGTGATGAAGAGAGAATGAAAAGTTGAATAGGTCCAGGGTTTTCAAAGACTGTTTACTAATAGGGTACATTAAGAATTGGATAGGTGGGTCTTCACTGTCAATTAAATCACCATTATTGCCTTATATGTGGCTGCTTGATTATAAAGAATCTCATAATCCCATACTTTTAAAATAAAGGTAACCATGTGTTCCTTGACAAGTTACTGTTGAAAACAAAACTAATTAAATATTATAAATATAAGTCTGGGAAATTATACTTTGTAAAGAATATTTCCTTTCATTCTTACATTTCTCGTGCAATTTCAGATTATTCAAATTCATTTCCCTGGTTAGGGCTGGGCTTTACAATGGGATTTTCAGCTGTGGAGCTATAAAGAATTACTACATAGGGTTTCCAATGTAGTTTTGTGTACAGAATCCAGAAATAAGAAGAGAAAAGACAATGCAGATGCAGCATTAGAATTACCAACTACTTATCACTGCTGAGGAAATGGTAAAGATGTGTTATATTATTATACCTCTACTGTCATTACTCTGTATAAATTAATACCATAAAACTCTATTTCCCCGATAAGTGACTATTGCCCTCATCTGAAGACTACTCCCTGGAAAATCAGAGTTGCTCCCTTGGACTACTCCCTCATGAATATTTATTAGTAATTTTAACCAATCAAAGCATTCAGTGGGCAGAGTTTTCAAAGAATCTCGAGTCTGTGATGTCAGGTTATTAGCAATGTAACTATGACGTCAAAACATTTCGACATGCAGTGTCAAAATCATACTTGAATTCTAGCAAAATGAAGACAACGATAATTTTTCGAAATGTCAGTGAAAATACTTTTTTAAAAATAAATTAATTGTTTAAGGACACGATGCTTCACTTATCATACATTGTGTTAAACCGCATGCATTTGTAATTATGCCTCTACAGTTTTTTTTTTAAAAATGTTGGAATATCTGGTTAAAAAAATTTCAATCGCCTATCATTGTTTTGGTATAATAAAAAAGTTATGGGATGGGAACTCGGGAAATAACAAATTTATTGTTCCCCTTGGCAGAAAATTATTTCCTTCGGGAAATAGTTTCCTCCCTCGGGGAATCATAAATTTGCTATTTCCCTCATACCCATTTCATAACTGTATACTATAGTACATGGAAAGGAATTGCCCTGTCTATCTGTCGATTTGCCACATGCATTTTTCCCTACTCTATTACTTTACTTCAAGGATATATGAAGCTCTTGTTTTCTTCAAAGAAAGCCAGAAGAATTTGTGAAGAATCTTACCTAAATCATTTGATGACATTTTCTTCAATTGATTAATTTAAATGTATCATTATCATAAACATGACATTTATTTTAAAAATCTTAGAATATGTCTTGTATGTTTTATTTCAATTTAATTTGAAAACTGTGTTTTTTCACAGGTACCTGATTTGAGTACTACTCTTGCGTATTTGGAGACAGTCCAGTTGTTCTTTAAACCAGAAGTGGAAATTTCAGTGCTTGTTAAATTTTCTCCAGAAGTTATTGGATGATACATTGGAAGAAAATGGGATCATACTGAACAAAATAGTTTGGACACACCTTATAGATTTTGAAAGATTGAGACCTCAAGATCAACCCAAATAATATTTAATATGTATCAGGGTTCACTTGCAAGAATACACAGAAATTCAGAGTAAATTTTAAGTGTTTGTTATCTTAGAGAAGATCAAAGTTCAAGGTCAGCAGTGCTTTAGTTTTACCAAATATAAAACTGTTATAAAGACTAATTTCCTGTATACAGTTATAGCAAATAATTCAGAATATGATTTGGGGAAACCATGATTTTTTTCTTTTAAATCTTACCTTAATTTAGAACCATGATGTATACTTAAGCAAGTAGATTTTTTTCAAGCATACAAAATTTCAAGGTCATTTTAATTTTGGAAGTGAATATAACATATCAGGAAGCAGTCAAGCATTGTAATTTATTTGTTGTTGAATGTACTTAGTTATTGAGTAATATTCAAATTTTAATATGCAATGAAATTAAAAATTATAAAATAACTAATGTCCTAATTTGTTGATTTTTTAAAACTTTGTGTTCATTCATTTTGAGGTTGTTGCCATTACAATATATCTGTCAAGAAAATAGCTCTGATATTCCTTTCTGTTCAGTTTGACCCTTGACCTTTAACATTGTGACCACAAAATCTAAAGGGGTCCCCTACTTTTCAAGAAACCAATGTACTAAATTTCATGTCTCTCAAACAATGGGTCCTCACGATTTTGAATGATTGAAATCTACATACTGGTATATGGAGAATTATAACCCTTGACCTTTGACCTTGTGAACTCCAAATTAAAAGGGGTCATCTACTTATTAGTAGATACCAGTGTACTTTGTTTATTATTTATCAAGCAAGTTTTTTTTTAAGATAAGAAAGAACAAACTTGGTCTACTGATTGACAAACAGGTACTAAACAGTATGTGAATATCACCCTGCTCAAAGAAAATGTAAAATAATACAATTCTGCTACCCCCCCCCCCCAATTTAACCCCATTTAACCCCTTAAGAAATAATTATTGATTGAAAACAAAAATTTTCAATATACTGGTATTTTTCAACCACAAAATTTGAATTCTTGAAAATATTTAAATCAGCAAATAACTCCTTGCTGAAGTTCAGGGATGAGAAAAAATTTGAAAATTCACAAAAAATGTCCAACTTTAAGTAAAAAGTACAGCAAAATATTTGAGAGTCCAAAGACAGATTTTTTATATAATGTAGACAGACATGTTGTCTAATAATTGGTATGAGATTGAGTTGATTCTAAGCGTTACTTTCTGAGTTATGGGTTTTTGAAAAGTTAATATTTTTACCAGTTTTCAAAAATCTGGAAGTATGCCAGATTTGTGACCTTTTTGCACTTAAACGAGGGCACAGTTTGTGATTATGAAAAAATTTCCGAAACAAGTATATCTTGTTACTTTCAATCATATATGGATAATTTATATCATAATCAAGTAAAATGCTGAATTTTTAAATATAAAATCCTATAAAATTCCTGTTTTCACCCTGCGTAAGGACCAAGAATTCTATTTTTAGTAACAGTGTCGATTTTACCCCTTAAGTGAGACCACACTGAAAAAAAATTTGTGGCAAAATATTTCATATTATAGAAGAAATTTACACACAAAACATGAAGTTGAGCAGAGAACCTTGCTCCCATAACCTCTTGCATGGTTTTCTCGTAGACATGTTCTTAAGTGACAAGCATTGCTAACAAAGGTTATAATCATGAACAGACAAACATTTATCGGTGCTTGAAATATCTGAAACCCGAAAGACTCCCTATGACCTTAAGATTCATTAATATAACCTTCAAAGAATATTTTTTGATGTAAAATACCCTTTATGTAAAATGTTATTTTAATGATAATAAAAAAAATTAAAGTATTTTTTTTTTATTTCCAAATAAATTGAATTTCAGATTGGCTGCTTTCATTGGATTTTTATTATTGCGTAACTTTATTTGCAGTCTGTCTTACTAAACCATGTTAAGAAATATAAAGATTGACTTCGAAGTGCGATATAATTAAGCATGAAAAATAGATGAGTGCTCCTAGTTATATATTCTCTTCTGATACTTTATTACAAAAACATGACAAGATGATTCCTTTTTAATAAGAAACCTTGAAAAAACCTGATGTTTTATGTACGTCAAATTTGGTTTTATTTCAGACTTGCATTGTAGAATATCTTGATGATTGTACATGTAATGAAAATTACCTAAATTGATTTCTTCCAAAGCCAATTTTCCTAGTGTTTACTGATTTAATGTCATCAGATCTGTCAGAAAAATTATGAAATTATATATTATTTATTGATTCAAAGGTGAACTGGCCTTTGGGCTATACTTTCGTTGGGGGAATTGTGGACATTTGTGTGTTGTTGTCCCCCAAAGATTATCTTTTATGAAATTGAATGTGTTTGTTTTCTTAATGCTAAATATATATGAAAATGTTATATAAAGTTTAGGTATGTTGAATATTATATTATCTATCTATACATATAACTGTATTTTTTCAATGGTTCTACTTTATTGAACTGTGTATATCTAAATATATGTATACCAAATATTAAATGTACTGATTCTTTCTATCTGATCCAGGGAGCTCCTGACACCCCAGATGAAGATATATTTATGAGGGCCTCCAATGAGGTATTACCTCCACTTTTTTTGTTAAAATATTGTTGAAATAAAATTGAAGCATAAACAGTATTACCATACCTATCAGTGGGTTGTGTTTTGTCTGAGGTTTTGACATTAATTGTGCTAAAGACCTTTTTGCTTATAGAACAGAAAATCCCCTCTAGGTGATCAATACTAAGCGATTACAGACGATGTGTCGACCGCCGTGGGATGCTCTCTTCTCCTTGGGGTCTCCTCCCAACTTTTTACCCATTAGGCGTTAGCCATTAGGCGTTCTATGTTTAATGTATTATTCATAAATCGGTACTATTTTTAGGCCTTCAAATTTACCTTTGTAATAAACTCATATATTAGTTAAGTTGACAAATTATTTGTGATTGAAGAAATGGTAAATCATTGCTTAACTGACAAACAGTATAGGAGCTTTTATTTCACATTTGTAATAAATTTGAATTATGAATAAAAAAAAGCATTGCAAAATAATTTAATGTAGATATAACAATGTAAACAAAAACAGAAACGCGAAAAGAAAATTGACATATAAAATTAAAAAAAAGAAATGTTGAGATCAAAGGATAACAAAAACTTGAAATGTCAATTGAAACAAACAATCAGGCTTAATGAATAAAAATGAACATATGCAGCTTTATAATGACCGAAAAAAAGCATATTTCTTTATTTTCTATATAAGACAGGGCTTGGTCCTATCATAAAGATAATGAAAACCAATTAATGCAATCAGTTAATAAATTTGCAATAAAAATTTAATCATATATAAGTATACGATTGCAATCCAGAAAAATGATCACGTGACTTTTTCCACAATGAAACATGGCCATATTTTTCTCTTCAATGATAATAGATTTTCTATATTTCATCTCTTTAATTCTGATATTATATACGTGATTTATTCATATCTCAGAATCATTCTGTTCATCCTAGACCTAAAAAGTATATCAACAATTATAGTTTGGACTTGTACATGTAGGTTAGTTCAATATAAATGTTCACTGGTAAGCTGTCCATAAAATGGTCATAGTTTTGCACAGAATAGGACGGTCAATATGAAAATATAGAGCGTTATCCTGTATTTTTCTTTATCATAATTTACACTTTACTTCTCCCGTCTCAAATCTAATGAAAAAAGTTATGAGTATCAATAGGTTTAACACGAGTTCTGGGAGCTGGAGTATAAGCATTCGGACTGGTTGGGTTGAAATTTTTGATTTATTTCTGCAAAAAAAATATTGTGTTTTGGTTGGCCTCTAAGAGATATTCTCTATTGTGATATGAAGATACATTCATAAAACTGCTGATGTACTGGTTCAAATTACTTTTTCTCTATATGAGTCTTGTATGCAGAAAACATGTATAAATTCGCCGCCCTTCATCGGCAACAGGTGGCATCTCCATAGGAGTAATAGATAAAAAGAGGTACTCTCCCTAGGAGTAATAGCTTAACAATAGGTACGTTGAAAAAGAAGAAAAAAAAATCAATGAAGAAGTATTCTCTATTGTAAGGTTTTAAAATCTCGTGAAAAAAATTATAAATCCCTATTTCTTTTGAAATGTACATGTAACTTCAAGGAAAGTAAAAACAGACAGTTACAAAACAATTTGAAGCTAGATCTGCATAGAAAAGAAACTGATTTTTTTAAATAATCCTTTTTCATTTATTTTTTAAGAATGTTTTGTTTATGGTTATGCAAATTGTCGATTAAAGCCTCGGGGCCAGTGCGCAGTAAATATTTACATTAATGTAATAATCTTGCTTGAAAAGGCTATCCACATCTTTAAGCTATAGCAGCTGATTCATCTTTCCTTAGTTTGGAGTTTAAAGGGGATCATTCCGTAATTTTGTAATGCAAAATTTATTTAGTGAGTTTATTTTTCGTTTTTTATATAGTTGAAAGATACACTTTCAGAAGATAGCTTGTCCTTTTTTACCGACGTACGTGATTTCCTTTGTGATATTTATTTGTAAATTATGTGTGCATCTACTCAGAAAGTACTTTTCCCTCTGCAATGCATTGTCGATTAAAGCCTCGGGGCCAGTGCGCAGTAAATCTTTACATTAATGTAATAATCTTGATTGAAAAGGCTATCCACATCTTTAAGCTATAGCAGCTGATTCATCTTTCCTTAGTTTGGAGTTTAAAGGGGATCATTCCGTAATTTTGTAATGCAAAATTTATTTAGTGAGTTTATTTTTCGTTTTTTGTATAGTTGGAAGATACACTTTCATAAGATAGCTTGTCCTTTTTTACCGACGTACGTGATTTCCTTTGTGATATTTATTTGTACAATTATGTGTGCATCTACTCAGAAAGTACTTTTCCTTCTGCAATGCATTGTCTATAATTGCACTTACATTAAAAATAAACGATCTTGTTTTTCTGGGGTTTTTTGTTAATCCATACATTTTTTTGGCAATGCTAGATTTATTTAGGGAGTTTACTTTTCGTTTTGTAGTTGATAGATAAGGTTTTCACATGTCTATCCTGTTTTACCCCCGGCGTACGCGATTTCCTGAGTGATATTTTTTTTTGCATTTTATGTGTGCATTTACTCAGAAAGTATCGTTCCATCTACAATGCCTTGTTTATAGGTGCACTTAAACGATCTGGTTTTTCTATGGGCTTTCTGTTAATATTTATTTATTTCAATCCGTACGCGGGTTTGTTAAGGCAGCACAAGGATAAGAATTCGGCGAATTAACACTTTTTTTATAATTATATAACACTAACAAGAAACATATTGACGCAAGCGTCAAAAATCGGCCGCAAACCAATTTATATAACTGTTGAAATTATTTTAGAAAC